GGCTGGAGTGCAATGGCATGATCATAGCTCACTATAGCCTTGGCCTCTTAGGCTCAAGTGATCCTTCTGCCTCAGCCTCCTGAGTAGCTGGGACCACAGGTGCATGCCACCTCTCCAGGTATTTTTTTAAAAATTATTTTTGTAGAGACGAGGGTCTCACTATGTTGCCCAAGCTAGTCTTGAACTCTTGGTCTTAACTGATTCCCTGGCTCAGTCTCCCAAAGTGCTGGAGTTACAAATGTGAGCCTCCACATCCAGCCAGTAAATGTCTTCTTCACTGGGTAAACCCAAAGGCATTCCCTTGCATTGGTCTTCTCTAGCCCTTTACTGCCTGATATACAGGGGAGTCAAGGTAGATTCAAGTCTGATCAAGATAGAATGTCACTCAACAGGCTCTGTCTCAATGTTCAGTGGGACTTGGGACAAAATCCCCTGAACTTCAACCAAGGATGAAGTGAGTTTCTGTTACCTGAATAGCCTGGAAGCCATGGCTGTTCCTACCCACCTTCCCTGTCCAGCATTAGCTGGCCAAAGCACCTGCCTCTGCCTTGAATCTCACTCTATTCCCCCAGTTACCCTACCTTGTGCCTCTATCTTTGCCTGGGGTTTGCGCCCTACCCTGAATTCCAACCCACTGACATGAGATCTTGATGCCTACTTGGCACTTAGAGTCTTAGTATTGCCCAATCCTGGTCCATTCCTGGAAGTCTGCTGAATCTTGCAGTGGATGGGGAGAACTCACCTAATTTAGAACAACTCCACATTACCCTTCAGCCACATTATGCCCTCCTCTCCTGGACGCTGCTACAGATGTTTCTGGTGCAGGTATTTTTCTTAGCCATACTTGAACCTACAATCACCTTTAAACACGGTGTCTCAAACATCTAACACTGAGTCAGTCTCTGCAACCTCTCCTCTGCAGTCTAGTGATCAGTGTGAACTGGGTCCTCCTGTCTGTGGACCCTCTGTGATCCTCTGTGCCAAGCCTGCCTTGCACAAACATGATGCTTTTCAGATATTTGCAGACAAAATTCCAACCCAGCCTCATCAGTAACTATCTAGTACTTGCCCCAGATATCGGCATTAAATATATCTCATGTTCCATCAACATATACCCAGACAGTCATCACTTGATGATCATGTGAAGGGCTCACTCCTAGCTCTTTCCAGGACTAATCCCAGCCTTTGCTCTGAAGGAGTGGGAAACAGTCATTCTCTAGCAGAGATGTTGCAAGTAAGCGCTTATTTGAGGCCTTTGGCAAGGATAACTGGCACTCTTTCTAGCTCATTTGTTGCTATCAAATTCCTGACTCAGCCCACTTGTCATCGCCTCTTGACAAGTCAGCATTTCAGTGCTGGGTTTGTTTCTCTTTCCTCGCAAGCAGTAAACACCATCCTATGCAAGAAATGAAGCTACCCTTCAATGCAAGAACCAGGTGTGATGGTGACTATTGAGTGTCAACTTGATTGGATTGGAAGATGCAAAGTATTGTTCCTGGGTATGTCTGTGAGGGTGTTGCCAAAAGAGATTAACATTTGAGTCAGTGGACTAGGAGAGGCAGACCCACCCTCAATCTGGCTGGGCACCATCTAATCAGATGCCAGCCTGACTAGAATAAAGGAGGCAGAAGAACGTGGAAAGACTTGACTTGCTGAGTCTTCTGGCCCTCATCTTCCCTTGTGCTGGATGCTTCCTGCCCTTGAACATCAGATTCCAAGTTCTTCAGCTTTTGGACTCTTGGACTTACCCCAGTGGTTTGCCAGGGGTTCTTGGGCCTTTGGCCACAGACTGAAGTCTGCACTGTCAGGTTCCCTACTTTTGAGGTTTTGTGACTTGGACTGACTTCCCTGCTCCTCAGCTTGCAGACAGCCTATTGTGGGACCTCATCTTGTGATCAGGTGAGTCAATACTTTTTGATAAACTCCCCTTTGTATACACATCTATCCTATTGGTTCTGTCCCTTTAGAGAACGCTGGCTAACACACTAGGGTTCTTTGGTCCCCTAGTAAGTACATCCAACTCAAAAAAAATTAGTGAAAGAAACAGCAGGGGAAAACTTGAAAATCCTTAGTCACTGGAAAATGATGCAAATAATGCTTCTCCTTTCAATGAAGCAGTTTGGGTGGCAAAATGTCAGGAAATTGCACAAGGTCTTCTCCAACTCTAATGCTAGAGGAATTACGATGTTCTTGGGGGAGGTGAAGAGTTTATGTTCATTTTTTAAAAAGAAAACTACAATTAAAGTCCTCAGGGAGTCAACATTTTTCACATTCTCTGCAGCAGGCATAATTTACTAAAAGAGAACTAGAACTCGGCTGTCAGCTGAATTAATATACAGGCCAAGAATCTCAGGTTCACCAAGATGTATGTGATAAACTGGTCCTGTGGGGTCAGGAGACCAACAGGGTATATTTCAGGGAAATAGAAGCCATTAAACACCATCATCTCAGTGTCTTGTATGCCTTATGTACAAAGGCACTCATAATTAAAATTAGCCATTAGCTTGTAAATAAAATGCTTTCAGAGAGAATGTTTTATGTTATTATCTCTATCCTACCCTGTTTATCGGCCTGGCCTCTATTTGTGATAATATCTCCATCTTTATTTCCATCTAATGGGTCTCCTTTAATCTAGTCAGCAGTGGTTTGATTTAATGGAGAGCTATGGAAAAGCCAGGTAAAATGACAGAATGAAAAACAGCCACTCAAAACTCACCAGGGCTAAACGTTGTCTCCAGCACAAAGATCAAGCTTGAAGGCTAGTATTTAACATGCTCCATGACCTGGATCTGACCAGGATTTCCAACCCCTTTCCATGACTTGTACTTTGAGGCATTTATCATTTTATCAGCCTGCACTCTTCTTCCTTTGCAATGGGAAACTGGCTCCAAATTTTATCACACCACCCCTCCCATTACTTCCAACAAATGTCCCTTCCCCAAGCCCAAATGTGTGATTTTAGAATTGACATTCGTGTTCTTGCGAGTTCCATGTTTATACAGGTTCCCTCCTCTCTACTCATAGCTGGTGGTCCAAGATGGGCTACCAGTCTGGATAGATTGCGGAACCGAAACCAGCATCCAAGTTCCTCCTTGGTGGCAAAACTGGAAGGTATGCTAACGGGAGAAGCAGTGCCTCGTTTCTTGCCAGGAAGCGATAGACACTCTAAGACAGCGGCCCCCAATCTTTTTGGCACCAGGGACAGGTTCCATGGAAGACAATTTTTCCACAGACTGGGGGTTGGAGGATGGTTTGGGGATGATTCAAGCACATTACATTCATTGCGCACTTTTATTTCTATTACTATTACATTGTAATATATAATGAAATAATTGTACAACTCACCATCATGCAGAATCAGTGGGAGCTCTGAGCTTGTTCAGTGAGTCTTGGCTCACTGAAACCTCTGCCTCTCAGGTTCAAGCAATTCTCCTGCCTGAGCCTCCAGAGTAGCTGGAATTACAGGCGTGCACCACCACACCCAGCTAATTTTTCTATTTTTTCAGTAGAGATGGGGTTTCATTATGTTGCCCAAGCTGGTCTCCAACTCCTAGACTTGAATGATCCTTTCACCTTGGCTTCCCAAAGTGCTGGGATTACAGGCATGAGCCACTGCACCCGGCCCACACTGCTTCTTGATGGCAGTCATATTTTCCCTTCTGGTAAAGCTATGTATGTACTTGTCTGATCTTACCTCTGATCTCCCAGTAATGGTAGGGTTTCATAAAGACAGGGATTGTGTGATCATTGGTTTACTTCATCTCTAGCACGGGACTGTCATGTGAAAATAAACACTCACTTAACTTTCTCTTGAGTTTCTCCTAGTTCCTCTGAGCCCTGGGAGCAGCATTCCGGAAGTAGCTACAAATCTTAAACAGCAAATTTTATCTAACAACACTGTCCCCTCCCCCCGCCTTTCCTCCCCTCCTTCCCTCCCCTCCTCTCCCCTCCTCTCCCCTCCCCTTCCCTCCCCTCTCTTCTCCTCTCCTCTCCTCCTCTCTTTTCTCTTCTCTTTTTGAGACAAGATCTTGCTCTGTTGCCCAGGCTGAAAGGCAGTGGATCAATCATAGTTGACTGCAGCTTTGACTTCCTGGACTCAAATGATTCTTCCACCTCAGTCTCCCAGGTAACTGGGACTACAGGCATGCGTCACCATACCCAGGTAAGTTTTTGTTTTAATTTTTCCGTAGAGATGAGGGTCTCGCTATGTTGCCCAGGATGGTCTCAACCTCCTGGCTTCACGTGATCCTCCCACCTCACCCTTTCAATGCATTGGGATTACAGGCATGAGAAACTCCACCTGGCCACAACAGTCCTCTAAGCCTGAGTTTAGAGTTTAGTTCAGGCCCTTGGGATAGGCACTTTTACCTACATCGAGGTTGCTTGATAGACAACCCCTCTTTTCAGGGATGTAAATACATCATTTCGCAACACGATGCGAAAACATCCTTTCTGCAAAAGTGGCAATACCCTTGGGGACTTCCCTTTAGTTTGAGCCACTGTGAGGGGCACGGAATGATGTTGCTGGAAAGTCAAGAAAATGGTACTCCTCACTGAATTTTGAGCCAGAATCAGAACACATCAGCCTCAGGGTATGGAAACTAATGAAACCACCATCCTGCAATGTACAGAAAGGTGCTACCTTAAGAGATCATCAACACTCCACAACCTGAAAGGTCAGTGGTGCCAATTAAACAACTTCCATAGTTCTACTCATATGGTTACTTCCTCTTGGAATAGCCCATTACTACTTTTTTTCCTTGATACGCTTTGACTGTGTCCCCACTCAAAAGTCATCTTGAATTGTAGCTCCCATAATTCCTACATGTTGTGAGAGGGACCTGGTGGAAGATAATTGAATCGTGGGGGCAGTTTCTCCCATACTGTTCTCATAGTAGTGAATAAATCTCACGAGATGTGATGGTTTTATAAGGGGAATCCCCTTTTGCTTGGTTCTCATTCTCTCTTGTCTGCCACCATGTAAGATGTGCCTTTTGCCTGCCACCATGATTGTGAAGCCTCCCAGCCACATGGAACTGTGAGTCCATTAAACCTCTTTTTGTTTATTAATTACCCAGTCTCAGGTATGTCTTTATCAGTAGCATGAAAACGGATTCATACATTCCCTGACTATTGAATCTTTCTTATCTTTCAGGGTATTCCTCAAAACCCAAGTCTCTCTTAAGCATTCCCTCTGCCCACACCACTGGAATTATTTCCACCCTCTTCTACCCCTTTGCTGTAGTTCCTTTGACCCTCTCTTGTAGCTCTCCACATATTGTTTTGCTTTATAATTGTCCTGCCCAAGTCTGTCTTCCCAATCAATGCACAGGCTGGAGTTTTTTTCTTTTTAGTGTCCTATTTTCCTGAATAGAGCCTGGCACAGATTAGGTGCTCAGTCAATATTTACTGTCAGCATCATCCCATAATTAGATAATGACAACAGGAAATATTTATCTTCTTGCATCTAGGTGAGACTGAACCTGATTAAGCAAAGCAGATCAGTGTCCGGGAAACTCCTGTGGCGTTCCAATGCAGGAAAAATTCATAACTTATCTCAGCAAACACTTACAACACCGCTGTGGTTTGTTCAGTGATGATAAATATGTTTGCCTTGTCATTTCATCTTTCATCTGCTGTTTGTTCCACTTTCCTGGATTGCAAAATCCTTGAGCCTAAAGATACTGTTACCTTTCTTTATAACCTTCACTGAGGGTAGCAAAAGATAATGAAGATAGTGGACAAGTCATAAATGATTGATGAATTGATTGACTCAGTTAATAAACATTTTCTCAGATTTATGTATCTGTCTGCTGCAGGTATATAAACCACAATACTTTTAAGGGCTCTCAGTTCAGTTGGAGAGACATTGCATTTCATTATAGTGTGTTATTGATGAATCTGAGTTACCAAGCCAATAGAAGAACAAAACAAGAGGTATGAAAATGTGCTCAACATCATTGATCATCAGAGAAATGCAAATCAAAATTACTGTAAGATATCATCTCTTCCCCAGTTAAAATGGCTTTTATCCAAAAGACAGGCAATGACAAATGCCGGTGAGAGAAAAGAAAACTCTCATACACTGTTAGTGGGAATGTAAATTAGTACAGCCACTACGGAGAACAGTTTGAAGGTTCCTAAAAAAACTAAAAGTCAAGTTACCATATGATCCAGTAATCCTAGATATATACCAAAAAGAAAGAAAATCAGTATATTAAAGAGATATCTACACTCCCTTGTCTATTGCAACACTGTTCACAATAACCAAGATTAGGAAGCAACCTAAGTATCCATCAACAGATAAATGCATAAAGAAAATGCGGTACATATAGGCAATGGAGTACTATTCAGCCATGAAAAAGAATGAGATCCTGTCATTTGCAACAACATGGATGGAACTGAAGGTCACTATGTTAAGTGAAATAGACCAGACACAAAAGGACAAACTTTGCATGTTCTCAATTATTTGTGGGATCTAACAATTAAAACAATTGAACTCATGGAGATAGAGAGTAGAACGATGGTTACCAGTGGCTGGAAAGCAGGGGGGTGGCAGGTGGGGAGGGAGTGGAGATGGCTAATGGGTAGAGCAACATAGTTAGAAAAAATAAATAGGCCAGGTGTGGTAGCTCACGCCTGTAATCCCAGTATTTTGGGAGGCCGAAGTGGACAGATCACAAGGTCAGGAGATGGAGACCATCCTAGCTAACATGGTGAAACCCTGTCTCTACTAAAAATACAAAAAATTAGCCGGGTGTGGTGGCGGGTGCCTGTAGTCCCAGCTACTCGAGAGGCTGAGGCAGGAGAATGGCGTGAACCTGGAAGGTGGAGCTTGCAGTGAGCCGAGATTGCGCCACTGCACTCCAGCCTGGGCGACAGAATGAGACTTTGTCTAAAAAAAAAAAAAAAAGAATAAATAAGACCTCATATTTGCTAGCACAAAAGTGTGACTGTAGCCAAAAATAATTTAATTGTGCATTTAAAAATAACTCACACCTGTAATCCCAGCACTTTGGGAGGCCAACGCAGGCGGATCACGAGGTCAGGAGATTGAGACCATTCTGGCTAATACGGTGAAACCTCGTCTCTACTAAAAATATTTTAAAAAGTAGCCAGGTGTAGTGGCGAGCACCTGTAGTCCCAGCTACTCGGGAGGCTGAGGCAGGAGAATGGCGTGAACCCGGGAGGAGGAGCTTGCAGTGAGCTGAGTTCGTGCCACTGCATTCCAGCCTGGGCAACAGAGCAAGACTCCGTCTCAAAAAAAAAAAAAAAAAAAAAAAAAAAAACTAAAAGAGTATAATTGGATTTTTTGTTACACAAATGATAAATGCTTGAGGGGATAGATACCCCATATACCCTGATGCAATTATTATGCATAGCATGTCTCTATAAAAATATCTCATGTACCCCATTAGTATATAAATGTAACCCACTAGGCATGGTGGCTCATGCCTGTAATCCCAGCACTTTGAGAGGCTGAGGCAGCAGGAGGATCCCTTAAGCCTGGGAGTTTCAGGCCAGCCCATGCAACATGGTGAAACCCAGTCTCTATAAAAAAAACAAAAATTAGCTGGATGTGGTGGTATATATCTGTAGTCCCAGCTACTCGGGAGGTTGAGGCAGGAGGATTGCTTGAGCCCAGTAGGTTGAAGCTGCAGTGAACTGTGATCATGCCACTGCACTTCAGCCTGGGCAGCAGAGTGAGATCATGTCTCAAAAATATATATAATATATGTTTATAAATATATATTATTTATTAAATTTCTATAATATAAATTACTTATGATTTACATTATATAAATATATATTCTATATATGATATAGAATAAGATATGATTTGTATATAAATATATTATATATAAAATATATATTATTTAAATATGTAAATATAGATTATAAATACATATTATTTATATATTTTTATATAATATATAAAACATATTTATATGTTACATATTTATATATATCCCATAAATATATACACCTATGTACCCACAAAAGTTTAAAATAAAAAATTATTTTAAAAAAGCAAGAGGTAACAAATTCTTCCCCAGAAAAGGCTTCACAAAGGAGAGGGTATTTGAGATTCATTTTGCAGACACTTTGGCCAGTCAGAGAAGACAAGGCTTTAGGCTGATTGTCTCCTATGCAGATGCCATAATGCATCATGGCTGTGTTTTCCTGGCAAAAGCAACTCATATGATTCCTTATGTGCTGCTGAACGAGTCTCACTGACACAATACAGCCTGACAGAGTGGAGACAGCCAGTTACAAAGCATCAGAATGCTGGCTTCTAGCCCCAGCAGTACAACGGCGAGTATGTCTTTTTCTGTTTAACTGAGTCTTCTGTCGCCCAGGCTGGAGTGCAGTGGCTCAATCTCTGCTCACTGCAACATCCGCCTCCCGGATTCAAGCAATTCTCCTGCCTCAGCCTCCCAAGTAGCTGGGACTACAGGTGTGCACCACCACGACCGGCTAATTTTTTTTTTTTTTTTCTGAGACGGAGTCTCTCTGTCGCCCAGGCTGGAGTGCAGTGGCCAGATCTCGGCTCACTGCAAGCTCCGCCTCCCGGGTTCCCGCCTTTCTCCTCCCTCAGCCTCCCGAGTAGCTGGGACTGCAGGCGTCTGCCACCTCGCCTGGCTCGTTTTTTGCATTTTTTTTTTAGTAGAGACGGGGTTTCACCGTGTTTGCCAGGATGGTCTAGGTCTCCTGACTGGCTAATTTTTTGTTGTTGCTGTTGCTGTTGTTTGTTTTGAGACGGAGTCTCGCTCTGTCACCCAGGCTGGGGTGCAGTGGCCAGATCTCAGCTCACTGCAAGCTCTGCCTCCCGGGTTCCCGCCATTCTCCTGCCTCAGCCTCCCGAGTAGCTGGGACTACAGGCTCCCGCCACCACGCCCGGCTAATTTTTTGTATTTTTAGTAGAGACGGGGTTTCACTGTATTAGCCAGGGTGGTCTCGCTCTCTTGACCTCGTGATCCGCTCGCCTTTGCCTCCCTAAATGCTGGGATTACAGGCGTGAGCCACCGTGCCTGGCCAATTTTTTGTGTTTTTAGTAGAGACGGGGTTTCACTGTATTAGCCAAGATGGTCTCGGTCTCCTGACCTTGTGATCCACCCGCCTTGGCCTCCCAAAGTGCTGGGATTACATCAGCCACCGTGCCCAGCCGCTAGTATATCTTATCCTCTTTCTGAGCCTTAATTACTCCATCTGTAAAACAGGCACGATAATCTCATTCAAATGAAAATTCGAGTATGACAATATGACAGTATTTTGAAACTCTGTTGTAGTCCCTCTACCAGGGTCTTTCTTTTCTTGGCTCTGGTACAAATTCTCTACTGTTACTTAAGGTTTATCGTGATCTATTGCTCAAGTCCCTCTTTCTCTCCTTCAAAGAGATTATTGCTTTCATGTTGAAAGAAAAACTGCAACCCCACAGCTAACCCAAAGGAGAGTGGACAGAGCCATGGTGTGGGAAAAGCAGTTAAATCATAAAATAATAGCGGGGGGCTGAAATTGCCCCTGACTGCCCATTGCTGCTCTCATTTTTATAGTCCATTAAAACCTACAATCACTGTAATGTTTATGCATTATTGGGGAGATAAATTGTGTAATTTTCATTTTGCAATTTAAATGTAATTATGATCTTAACTAATGACTAAAACCTGAATTTGCTAGACTATCAGTTTTTCTAACCCTTGCCAAAATTATAGGTAATTACTTAAGGCTTACAATAATTATAAGTCCATCTCTTAAATAATTAATGTGCACTTTCATGGTACAAAACAGCTAGTAATCAAACGACCTCTGCTTACACTGCAAACCCAAGCAATTAAGCCTATTGTGTAGAACTGTAGAAATATACCCATTTGCAAGAGTCCTTCCATTGGAAAGCTAAAACACGAGGTTGTTGTGTTTTATAGCATCAAATAAGGACGAATTCCCCTGCTGCCAAAAGGCCAGAAAAAGAAAGTGATCCACAAAATCAGAGAAAATGTAATCTGAGTCTACACAAAACTGTTGTAGCTGATGGGAGACAGGCTGAGGAGCAGGAGGAAAATAGAGAATGCTTCCAGCTATGGACTTGAAATAAACGTGAAATGGATCTAGTTTTCACAAAGGAGCTAAGTGTGGGATGTGAGTAGAACTTATCACTGGCCTTTTCGTCCTTATTTTGTTCTTGAAGGGGGCATGCAATTCCTTCCCATAGTAAACATACAGCATGGAGCTGAGCTTCTGTGACACAGGGATAAATAAGGTCGAGTTTTTGCCCTTAAGAAATTACCCTACTAGTGTGTGTTATGAGACAGGCAAGCAGAAAATCAGAATACACCCTGATAAGTGCTGCAATTTCCCTTAGAAGGGTGGTGGCAGATATGCAAGCAATGAGCCACAAATAGTGTTTCTTAACATTTGTTATTCTGCTCACAAAGAGTCTAAAGGTTCCTGAGAATGGAACTGGCAGTAAGGGATATTCCAAGGACCTGAGCTGCTCCTGCCCTGGGGTTTTGGTTCATGGTGACTTAGCACAATGAAGATCACATCCAGATCACAACACCAGATATTCTTGATGTAGGAAACATTGCAAAATGAATCCTGGAGTCACCTCCTTCTCACTGCTCTGTATTCATTTTTGCCTGTTCAGCTCTTTCTATTCTAATCACACCCATTATCCAAGATTCAGCCCCACTACCTTCCCCTCCAAGAAGCCTGCTCCAATACTACAGAGCTCTTCAAAAGTTCCCCTCTTTATACATAAACTTACCTAAAGGGTGTTGTGATGGTTCATTTTATATCGCACCTTGGCAGGCTCACAGTGCCCAGATATGTGGTCAAACATTATTCTGGATGTCTCTGTGAGGGTGTTTGTGGATGAGATTAACATTTGAACAGTGGACTTTTGAGTGAAGTTGATTACATGCCATAATGTGGGCAGACCTCATCCAATCAATTGAAGGCACTCATAGAACAGAAGTTGATTG